AATGTTCTGGAATATTCAGCATTAATTGTACTTAAGAGATGAATTTAATTTTTGAGAATTCATGAGGACATGAACTACGCGACGCTTCACGCCAGCATATTTCATGAAGCGCATTAGCGCTTCATGATAAATATGCAGGCCTGAAGCGTTGTAGTTCAAGTACCTCATGAATGATCTAAAATTAAATTCATGTCTTATAATTTACATTATTTTTCTGATGACTTGCCACATATTTTTGTCATTCAACGATCATTTTTGAAAAAAAAAAATTGCACTATTTTTTTTTTACTTCAATTTCATCACAATGGAAATATTCTTTCTCATCCCACAAAAGAACTTTCATGAGAACGTGACCTTTTTCTAATTTGCAAAGAATCTTAAGGAAAAATATTTTGAAATGTAAATATAATAAAATTACTGCAAGGGTAAGATTGTATAATCTTATACAGTGCATTTGGAGAATTCAAGTACATTACTAACCATATACATGTACAGAATGTTGATATGTCTATCTTTAAGAGAGAAAAAGAAAGAAAAGAGGGACACTGTTAATCACAGTTTAAAAGTAGATGGAATGATATAACATCTCCAAGAGGTCTGAAGACAGTCGTATTTTTAGTCATAGTCCATGCTTGCTTTGGAGATCACTGGTACGATATCTGTACAATAGCCTATTGACGTTAGATTTTGGAAAAACAGTGATACAATTTTTTCACGAAAATAGCAATCCCTTTGTATTCTTTCTGACCAAAGGCACTTAAAGTCAATACCGGTTTTGTTTAGTAAACCTTTCGCATAGAAAACCTTCCCCAGAATGTTGACTATATTGGAAAGCTTCCCTCTTGGAATAATTGCTATGAAATATGGAGATAACAAACAGGGATCAAGCTCAAAAGTTCATAGAAACAAGCAAACTTTCCTCCAGGATACTCTAATATATACTAGTAGTAAATCCCCCTCCCCCTTAATCCAGATAATTATACATAATTTGGAATTCAGTACATTTATCGTGTTTATTTTTTTATTGTTAGTGACAATCAAAATAAACATGATAAATGAACAAGATTGCGAGTCCAAAAATTTTGTAAAATTAGTTTTCAAAGCTGATCAAAATTGTGGAGTAGTGAATAAAAGAAGAATTTGGTATTTGATATAATAGAAGATCTTCTGGGGGATATTTTACTATGGGGGAAGGTTAACTTTATGTCACCGGACATATAATCAATGATTTTGCTGTAAATAAAAAGTTATCACTCTTTTTTGCAGAAATATCCCAGAAGGTCAGAATATGTTTTTTTTAAATAATATAATGAAGGTCAGAAGGTTTTAATATGTAACCGAAAAAAAATTCATCAACATCATTATCCGTACTTTTCCCAGAAAGTGAAAAAATCGTTTTAAAATATCTCAAGGAAAAATCCCTTTTATTCTTGGTAACAAGTAATCAAGTTAGAAATGGACACTTTTTTGAAACAATATCAAAGTTTTTTCTATAGGAAATCAAGGTATTTTTTTACGAAGGATTTCAAATTGTTTTATTCATATTCTCCAATTATTATTAGCGGAATCTTCATACTTAAAGGAAACATTACTTGTATATTCCCATAAATCCAGAATTCAAATTATTGGTATGGAGGTTACAAGATATTAAGTGTCGAAATCTCAAAAGAAATGTTCTAGAGTAAGTTTTATTGTAAATCAAAGTCTCAAAGTATGTACTATAGTAAAATAAAGTTGACTACAGAATTTTTTTTTTTGTTAGTGACAGTAAGACGAAATTTCGTCTTTAGATAGCAATTGATATTATTATCATGGTTTTACTTTCATGTGGATGTTTTGAAAACGATTTAAAAAAAATCACTTGTAAAATACAATGCATAAAGCAACAGGTCCAATTTTGCTAACTTTTACTTATCACGTATCATGTGGTACCGAGAACATGATCTGAGGTTGATGAGATAGGGGACACTTTTATGAACCTCTAAAGGAATACTCAGTTCTGTAGTGTGTAATTATATAAGGATGAAAAATAATCTGACAGATTAGCGAAGAAATATGAATATGAAACTGACTTGTGAAAAGGTATAATTGAAATTTCAGAGGCAATGTACAACACCTTACATGTAGCTGCCACTCGCATGGTGGGTGTCTTTTATAAAGCGTAAATTACGATGAAGATTTGGAATGCAAGGGATCATAAAACCTTTTCTTATCAACGTGATATCGAAAGATATAGGTAAAACCATTATGTAATATGTGGAAGTAAAATATGTCAGCCAGAAGGAAAAAAAACACCCCTGATTTTTTTATATTCAGGTGTTTCGAAGATTTTTTTCAGCATTATTGTAAAGATAGAGATTACAGTAAATTAAGCTATAAGTCTTTAGTCATTATTCTCAGCTTATGAAAAGTCAGAGAGATCCTTTCGGACGACCTATGTTCATCATTAAGACAATGGCAACAAACATAAAAAATGACTAATGTCCACCACTTAAAAAGACAACAAACAGACATTAAAGATGACTCGTCCACCACTTAAAAAGACAACAAACAGACATTAAAGATGACTCGTCCACCACTTAAAAAGACAACAAACAGACATTAAAGATGACTCGTCCACCACTTAAAAAGACAACAAACAGACATTAAAGATGACTAGTTCACCACTTAAAGAGATAACAAACAAACATTAAAGATGACTCGTCCACCACTTAAAAAGACAACAAACAGACATTAAAGATGACTCGTCCACCACTTAAAAAGACAACAAACAGACATTAAAGATGACTCGTCCACCACTTAAAAAGACAACAAACAAACATTAAAGATGACTCGTCCACCACTTAAAAAGACAACAAACAGACATTAAAGATGACTAGTTCACCACTTAAAAAGACAACAAACAGACATTAAAGATGACTCGTCCACCACTTAAAAAGACAACAAACAGACATTAAAGATGACTCGTCCACCACTTAAAAAGATAACAAACAGACATTAAAGATGACTCGTCCACCACTTAAAAAGACAACAAACAGACATTAAAGATGACTAGTTCACCACTTAAAAAGACAACAAACAGACATTAAAGATGACTAATTCACCACTTAAAGAGACAACAAACAAACATTAAAGATGACTCGTCCACCACTTAAAAAGACAACAAACAGACATTAAAGATGACTCGACCACCACTTAAAAAGACAACAAACAGACATTAAAGATGACTCGTCCACCACTTAAAAAGACAACAAACAGACATTAAAGATGACTAGTTCACCACTTAAAGAGATAACAAACAAACATTAAAGATGACTCGTCCACCACTTAAAAAGACAACAAACAGACATTAAAGATGACTAGTTCACCACTTAAAAAGACAACAAACAGACATTAAAGATGACTCGTCCACCACTTAAAAAGACAACAAACAGACATTAAAGATGACTCGTCCACCACTTAAAAAGACAACAAACAGACATTAAAGATGACTAGTTCACCACTTAAAAAGACAACAAACAGACATTAAAGATGACTCGTTCACCACTTAAAAAGACAACAAACAGACATTAAAGATGACTCGTCCACCACTTAAACAGAAAACGACAACAGATACTCAAGAAGACTCATGTCTATCACTTAAACAGATAACAACAGATACTCAAGATGACCCATGTCCATAATTTATACAGACAACGACAATCTGGAGATCTATACAAACCGCAGCCGTGGTCTTAAGATAGAATCTTTGCAGGTTCAGTAAGGGTACCAGGAATGACTTCTATGTGAACCCCCGGATGTTGTTAATGTTGATCCATTACAACAAGTTTACATCAATATACATGTACAACATTTACACCAGGAAATCAGACGAGGGAGCATAACTGCCGAGAATAAAAGAAAAATGAATGCTATTGGATTTTTCTGAAAAGAATTACTTCACACTACTGAGTAAAATAACATATTTATATTATCTTACTAAAGCAGATGGAGTTCTGTGCCGAGATAACCTTTTTTTGTATGCAATGAAGAAACCATCAATTGGACATAAAATCTTTTAGTTTATGGCGAAATAATAATCCGTCGGCGAGGGTCTTTGATAAAGCATTCAGTATCATCATAAAATACAATAAACTTCTACAGCAAACCAACAGAAATGAAACCACATGCAATATTTCATGAATTTTGCATTTTAAACAAAAATGCATTTTAAAATTGAGATTTTACTCAGAGTAGAACTTTTGCAAGTTCGTTTCACCAATTTTAATTAGTTTTTTATGTACTTGATACACAAGAATATCAAATGTACATGGATATTTATCCGTTAGTATGAAAGACGATACACATGTACAATTTCCTAATTTTTCCCTAATATCTAACTAACATTTTCATTCACATGTATATTCACATCAAATTCTATTGATTTAACTCTGGTTCCATTATCTTTCCATACCCTTGCTAAGAAGCTGCAGAGTAGTATATATTGACTTCCTCGTATCCGTCCGTCGTCATGTGTTCGTTGACGCACGGTGGTGTTTAGATTTTGGCTATTTTATGGCCTACTAGTATCTTAAGGAATATTCAAACCAAACTTGCAGATGTGAAGCATAATATATGGATAAGCAGTGTGATGCATACAGCAAACACTGTATATGAATATGCACATCATTCCATGCTTGAGTGACTGAGGACTCATGCATTCTTAGCTCGTTTCAAGTGACGTGCAGTAAAAAGTTAACGATTGGTGCATCCATGGAGGCATCAATCTGTGCAGTAAATGTACCATGGTTTTATTATTCCCAGCGCGGGGGTACCAGTCTCGTTAGGACAACTCTATTATTAGAGCAATGTTTACACCCAGTAGATATGACTTTAGACATGAGTGACGTTATCTTTTATGATTGACCGCCAGACAACTTTCATAGCGCTAATTATCACAATCAACAGCGATCAAACGATAAATTTTGAAAGAGAGTGTATTTTCTTTGCTTTATTTTTCCAAGATAGCATCACCACGTGGTCTCTATGGAACCATGGAGTGTATCCAAAGTCCCACCCCTTCTCTGCATAAACAACACTATACCTGATCCACGCGACATATCAGAGAATAAAACTCACTGTTTTCAGGCAGATCTTAACATAAGCGCCATGGAGGAAAACACATATATTATTCTACGTAAAATTGACGAGGGCGCATTTGGAGATATTTTCTGTGTGCAGAGACTTAAAGACCACAAATTACTGGCTATGAAACAGATTTTATACAGAGGAGATATTTCTCGTGACCCTTACATTACACAAGAACTAAACAACCTGTCAAATATAAAGCAGGAGTATATAATCATGTTAGTGGAGGCTATCATAACCGATAAAAGCGTGAACTTAATCATGGAACTAGCAGAAAATGGAAATCTGGAGGATTTAGTTAGTGGAAACAAACTTGACAGTGACCAATTGTCCGTTATTTTAAAGCAACTATTAACAGCTCTTAATTTCTGTCACAAAAGCAAGATTGCACACCGGGATGTGACGCCGTATAATATTCTGCTGACCAAAGAAATGAGTGTTCGATTGGCAGATTTTGGACTCTCTGTACCATGTCGTGACTCTGAAGACAAAATTATTCTTTGTGACGATTACCTTGGACATTTACATTACACGGCACCGGAAGTACTGATGAAAACTCCATACGACCCCCTCAGGTCTGATATGTGGAGTCTTGGAATAGTAGCCTACTTTATGATCCACTCAACAGTCCCCTTTGTCGGCGAGGAAGAGGACATTGTATCTCAACAAACAGATGATCGAATTGTTAATGAGACAATCAGTAGAGCACATGAGTTTAATGACACTCTATTCGGGATATTCAAAGTTGTAATGAAAAACGTTCTACGAGCTATTCCGGAAAAACGCTGTCAAACAGGTGACTTGCTAAAACTTATCAATAATGAAGCATGAACAATATTGCTTAACAGAAAAAAAGATATTCTGCAACATTCCCTGTAATTTATGGCAACACTTGTTAAATGCAATCTGTTTTTGTTTATACTTAACAGTTTATTTGTTACTTCTATTTTTAGGCACTGTTTTCTCAATAAAAAAACTTGGTAAAATCTATAGCTTTAACATTATTTTATCATCCTATGGTATAGAAAAGTAAGGTTTTTACTCACCATAAGATAGGTATGTCTTTTTTTATGTAATACGGACGTTCAGAACCGCAAAAGAGTAAATTCAATAATCATTTGATTCCATTTGTGGTTAATTTATAAAGATACCCTCTATATGGAATATATCTACAAACGATCTCTAATTCATTAAATGTCCTAGCTTGCACCTAGAAGAATTTTTCGGAAAATATATTGCATATACATGTATTCATTCTTTACTTATTCGTAAGGAAAAAGTAAGAAAAGGAATTTTTTCCCCAATTCGTTTTGGATTTTTGAAACATTGCTTTGCAACATTAATATGATAAACTTGAGAAATAATGCAATAAATAACATGATGGTCTTGAGCTAGAGGGTTAAAGCCATTTCTTCGATTATGATATGATATGAAAATATTATAAAGTGAAAATCTTAGTTTTGAATTGCTACTCACTTCATATTGGTTTAAGGGTTGAAAGTGGAGACACACCATACATAATGATGAGTAGAACAGATATATAATGTACATCACGCAAACTTTAAAAAATCCGAATTTCCGCTTCCTTTGATCTTTTATATTAAGTAATTGTGAGTTCTAAACAGATTCCTCTAACTCCTTTATCTAATCTTGCAATCTAATTAAGAGAGTGTAAACCAAAGTTGCACATTACAATTTTGATAACAACTTAGAGTACAAGACGAAAAATTGCTTAGAATCACATATTCTATTTTAAGGATGGATTTTAAACAAAAATATCTGCTGATGGTGATTTAATTTTTATGAATGAAAAGTAAAATGGTTAAAGATAAAGAAATAATGACACAATGCATCTGCTGATAATCACTGGGTATGTAATACAATTTTATGCTGCAGAGGCAATTGCCTCGGAAAAAATATTTGAATTTTTTCTTTTTTAAAAAATCTTTTGAATAGTATTTATTTAAAAGAAAATCCACTTAACAAATGATTGATGTCTCAGTAGGTCAAAATATAATCGCCTAGAGCTCCACAGGTACAAAATAAAGCCGAATCTCCTCATTACAACCCAGTTATTTAAACTTGGTGAAGGATTTTGCCAATGATTCGTTTAAATTTTTATCTTTTGATCTGAAGACGTATAAACATTTTACTGCTTTTGATCAAACAAGACACTAGTTGATTCCCACTTTCTCTTAAAGTGGGGAATATTACTTTGGGTCTTACCGATATTCTGTCTGTAACACTTGAGTTTCCAGATGACGTCTCTAAGCGTTCTATAGTTTTCGCAATGAATTTATGTCATAACTTCCTATGACTTATAAAACACCTCAGTTGAATTTGTTGTCAAATGTCTATTTACAAGATCAGCAATTTATAAATTGTGTAAAATGGTTTCCAGATGATAATTTTTTCTCTTTGAGCTTTTGCAGTGAAAATTTAAATCACGACCCCCAGTAATAAATAATCCCCATTGAACGTTTATAATAAAATATCATAACTTCCAAAGACTTAAAAAAGACCCCTATTGATTATTTATAAAATGGTTTCCAGATCTCTTGACCGTCACTGTAGCTCAGTCGGTAGAGCGCAGCGCTCGTTCCGTGATCGGAAGGTCGTGTATTCGAATCAAGGTCGCGACTGACCCAAGTCGATAAAAAAATGGTACCAACTGTTCCTTCGCCGAGCACTCGGCACTTTGAAGTGAAAGTTGCAGGTCATTCGGATGAGACCTTAAAAACCGAGGCCCCGTGTCACGCTAGGCGTTGGCACGATAAAGAACCCTCACTGCTCAATGGCCCTGAGTGCCGAGTAAAGGTCAAAATTTGAAGCCCTTCACCGGTATATGGTGACGTCTCTATATGAGTGAAAAATTCTCGAACGGGACGTAAAACAACATACAATCAATCAATCAATCCAAATCTCTCTGGCCTTTTTCAATGAAACTTAAAGTGCTAATTCTCTAAATTAAGAAAGGAACCTATTGATTTGAGGTCATATGCGTGTAATTCTATGATGCCTCTAGCAATCTTCTTTATTGAGGTGCAGTGGAATTATGTTCTTTTTTCATGCGAATTCACGGAAATGTGGGATCAGGAAATCATAATAAAATCACACAAAACTTTTCCAGATCAAAGAATTTTGATATTTACGTAAACTCTTCGCCATGTTATTGTTTATACTTCTTTGAGGTCTGATAAAGTCATTAAAGCAGTTGGTTTTTGTGTTTGTAAATAGTGGGGGAAATTTTATGCTTAAAACACACACGATGTTTTATGTTTAGCATATCGATGGCATAACTACCTTGGATCACTCGTATGGCACGCCAGATTCACACAAATGAGCAAAACAGATTTGAATTTTGATAAACTAGGTATATCAAGAGTAAATTACAATTTACAGGGCTTAAACTATAGTTTACGACTCTAATCTACATTTTACATCTCTAAAACTATACAGTTTACAACTACATCTTTATTTGACAAGTGTAAACTATGTTAAACAATGATAAATTTAATTTTCAATTGCAAAACAAGTTTTTGATATATATCTTATCACGTCTTGTATAAAATTTGGTTAGGAGCTTTACACTACAGTTAACGTATGTTAATTATAACTCAGAACTAGCCAATCTCAGAACAGCAATTATAGTTTGCAACTTCCCTTATTTATGTAGTAATATTCTACTATCACTTGCATATGGTGATTATGTCTCCGAACGTATTAGATACACAAGAGCATGCTTTGAGTACGATCAATTTTTTTAAACCGAGGCAGACTATTGAAAGTTTAGTTGATGTTCGTGGATTTCAACAACCTCGTTATATGTCAGCATTCGTAAATTCTATGGTACTTATGATGACCTTTAGCAAATATAACCTATCACTGGGTCGTATTTTGGCTGACGTGTTTCATATCAATTGTTAGGCCTTTGCTTTATACTAAATTTGACTATGGAATATACCGTCTAAATGATCAATGCATGGAGGTCACGGTGGTTGTGACCGGGCGATAGGGTATGCTTGCTCCTCTAAGGCACATCCCATCTCTGGAATTTCCAGGTGTCCGTGTTTTATGCCCTTTTCACGGGTTTGTATTGTTTGTAGATTTTTTTGTGAGATTGATCAATCACTAATCAATAATGTCAGATGCTTACTCCTATTATGCCCCTGATCCCTCCTCTGGAATTTCCAGGTGTCCGTGTTTTATGCCCTTTTCACGGGTTTGTATTGTTTGTAGATTTATTTGAGAACTCTCATTGTTCGGTATCTTCACCTTTTTTCACCTTAATTATTGCTAAGTGTAATTTGCAACTGAAAACTGTCGTTTTAAAATCAGAATCACAAACTAATAGAATTTAGTTTTACTATTTATGAAACTATCTAACATTTAAAAACCATTAATCACAAATTCTAAATGTAGGTTATGAGCTAAAATATATAAATATCAAACCTGTTTAATATGCCTTCACAGATTGATAAACTTGTTATATCGTTTGCTAGCCATAGTTTACTCCGAACAATATAATTTCATAGTGAAGACGTTCGCTAACATATCGTTAACTACTAGTATACTCTGTAAGATGAAAAATGACGAACCTAGTTTATAAAATGCAAATCTATGTTTTGTTCATTTTTGTGACTTTGGCAATGTTAGATGTTAGTGTAATTCAAGCGATCTCCATAGACTAACGTTTTTATCTCAGTGAGAATCCAATCAAGAGTATTCCATGACAACCACAATTTATCGAAATGGAGGTCACATGCTGTTCGAAAAATATCCCGATTTTTTCTCCTTGAAGTGTTGGCTGTGAATAATTACTTCTGAAAATTTGCCTAATCATAGTTTATGAAACCTCATAAATCGTTTCTTAATCAGAAGCATATATCTGATAAGCTCGATGGAAGAAGAGCCAGCAAGGATAAATGTACGTTAAGAAAAATCACAAAATATCCCTTTTTTCTCATAGTTCAAGAGAAGACTTGTATATGAATAATGTTCAATAGTCATTCTAAACCATTCTGAAAATACTGATGTCTTATTCAGGTACTTTTCAATGGAAATTTGATAGAACTTCTTTTGAAAAGAAATAACAATTAATGTTAACGCATGGCAAGAAATGGCAAGAAACAATCGACAAGCTTCTAATAGACTGATTTTGTAACTTCAATTCTTCCTGAATTTAAAAACATATCTTAAAATAACAATAATTAATCGGCCTCAGAATTCCTATGCTACATCATATACAAGAAGTGGTGTAGCATCAAAAACGCCTTGTGGAGCTTGAGGAGAAAAACATTTCAAAAATAAATAGCATCAATTCATGTGACTTAAAAGCTTCATACAACCATTTCTCACGATAAATTAAAGAGCAAACGTTTTGCAATCATAGACAACTGCTTTGGAGACCAGGCCTAGGTCTCCCACAGGTCTGGTGGAATACTGTACATGTACATATTACATGCACATATTAGCCGACATGTTTTATATTCTTATAATGCAGAATTTATTCGTAAACTTCTAAATGAGAAAAAGACTCTTGCCGTGGCTTTCAATTTATTAACTAAAATAATTATTTTCATTCATATCTCAATTCGATACATCCCAGTGAAAATGAAAAAAAACAACAACATGAAAATGAAAGACACTACAGAGTCTGCCACATCTGCTTCGTACTTAGATGTTTTACTGACCATAGATGACAAAGACCAATTAACAACTAACCTTTGTGCCAAAAGGGATGGCTTTAGCTTTCATTGCAAAGCTTTCTAATTTATATAGTAATATTCTACAATCATCTGCACATAGTTCTTTTGTCTCCTAACGAATTGTTCTAATTATAATCAACTTTAAAACCAAGGCAGACTACCGACAGATAAGTTGATGTTACAGTGTTTTCGACGGTATATCTTAAAGTCAGCATTTCGCTAATTCTATGCTTGTTATAAATAATGACCTTATTTGCAAATACAGTCTTGATTTGACTGACA